AGTGTGTATAATATCAGAAAAAAATGAGTATAATCAGAAAAAAAAAATGATAAGAAAAGTATGTACTTAATGTTACATATCTTAACAGCAGCGAAGATTATATTCACACAATACTGGAAAAATAAAGATGTACCGCAAGATGAAGAAATAATCAGGAAGATACTTAATTGTGCAGAAATTTTTAAATTGACATTGCAAATTAAACACAAGATGTAGAATATTAAAAGGTGTGGACTCTAGAAAGAATCCAGAAGTTGTGAATGCTCCAATACTGGAGGTTTTTAAGAAGAGATTGGACAACCATTTGTCTAAAGTGGATTTCCTGCCTAGGCAGGGGGTTGGACTAGAAGACCTCCAAGGTCCCTTCCAACTCTGTTATTCTATATTTTATATTATCAAACACGGAATATATTTTACCAAGGGTTGGGAAAAAGGGGTGGAGATTAGGAATGAAAATTTGTATTGTTAAGCAAAATTAAAAACCCGGAAAACACAATGTTTATTAAGCACCAAGAAATGTATTTAATAGAATATGAATAAAAATGAATACCGTATTTTTCAGAGTATAAGACGCAACTTTTTGCCTCCAAAAAGAGGCTGAGAATCTGGGTGCGTCTTATACTCTGAATGTGGCATGAGCCATACCTGATGGGAGGGGGGAGTGAGAGGTATGGTGGCGGCAATCAATGGCAAAAGTAGGTAAGATGACCTACCACCCGAGCTCCCCCCCCCCCCCCCCGGCTCCTGGGCAAAATTAAAGCCACCATTGCCGCCGACACCGCCTCGCTACTGCCCGAGGAGCCTGACCTGCTCCCGGGTAAAATTTTAAGTTACAGCCGCCACCGTCGCCTCGCTACTGCCTGAGGAGACTGACCTGCTCCCGGGCAAAATCAAAGCGCCTGCCTGGATAAGCCGCCTGCCTCACCTGCTTCCTGCACCAGATAACGCTGCCTGGAGAACCCTGCCACCTGCTCCTGAGACACCACACAGGTAAGCCCTGGTTAGGGGTGGCGAGGGTCTTCAAACATGGTGGACTTTACGTTACAGCAATCCGGAGGTAACATGACTGGAGGAGGAATTCTGGGAGTTGAAGTCCACAGGTCTTAAAGCTGTCAGCACTTTTTGCAATGGGTTTGGCTTATGGTTTTAAGGTTTAAAGCTTATTGCCTGTTTGCAGGTTGGGGTTAGGGTTAAGGCTAATTGTATTTAGGGGGAGGGTTTAATGATCTAATGTTTGTGTTTATGAATGTGGTTTCAGCTACAGTGCACTGTTATCGTTATAAATGTAATTGTTCTTTCTTGCAGAAAAATGTCAAAGCCAAAAAGGCAGGCATCTACAATCTCTTTCAAGCTGGAAGTCTTGAAACATGCCGAGGAGCATGGAAACAGAGCAGAGAAACATTTTGGACCGCCTCCAACTGAAAAGGTGATAAGAGAGTGGAAGAAACAGGTGGATAAGCTGCAAAAGGTAAAAGATAAAAAGCAAGCACAACGTTCGTGGGCTTTCCTGCAAAGTGGCCACAGTTAGAGGAGGAAATGAGAAAACTGGATCCCAGGTCACCGGATCAGTGGCTTCGCAGTCCCCGCAAAAATGGTGATGTGTGAAGCCCAAACGAATTGCTACACGGAAAGGCATTTCAGGATTTTAGCACAACAACCATCGTGGTGCTTCAGATTTATGAGGCGATGTGGCCTTGCTATGCGCACCAAAACTAGGATTGCGCAAAGAACGCCAAAAGAGGATGAGGCTTAAGATTCTGTCTTTTCATGCTCTTGTGATGGATTCCAGGAGGAGAAACGATTTTGACATTGGCCGGATTGGGAATACGGATGAAACCCCGCTAACTTTTGATGCGCCCTCAAACAGGAGTGTTGATGTCAAAGGTGCCAAAAGCATAACTGTAGAAACTACAGGACGTGAGAAGACACATTATTACACAGTTGTGTTGCCCTGCTGTGCAGATGGCACCAAATTGGCACCAATGTTAATATTTAAAAGGAAAACCTTCCCAAACGAAGTGGTTGTTGTGCATGTCCATGAAAAAAGGATGGATGGCATGAAAGTATGGATTGAAACGTCCTGAAGGCCTTCTGAAAAAAAACAGCTTTATTAGTGCTTGACCAGTTTAGAGCACATATTACTGACAACACTAAAAAAAGATTCAAAGAAGTGAAGACCCCCATCTAGCTGTAATTCCTGGGGGTCTTACCTGCCAGTTGCAACCTCTTGATGTTTCCATCAACAAGCCATTCGAAGTTTACATGCGAGAAGAGTGGGAACAACTGGATGGCTGCTGGAAAATCATGCTCTGAATTAATGAGGCCCATTATCACTCAAGTTTGTGAATGGGTGAAAAACCTCATGGAACTCAGTAAAGGATGAAACTGTTACACAATCCTTCAAAAAATGTGGCATTAGCAATGCCTTTGATGGGACTGAAGATGACATCATTTACGAAAGTAGCGAAGAAGAACGTGATTGTGAGCAACTGAGATTCCTAAATTCTGACCCCAGCGAGGATGAAGAGTTCTCCGGGTTTCCAGAAAATTAAAAGGAGTGCTTGAACCTTCAAGTCTCTGTTCTTTTGTTAATGACAGTGATGATGGTTCTTAATACTGCTGTTGACTTTACAGAATTGTAAAAAGTATACCTTGTTGTAAAAAGTATACATGGTTGTAAAAATTCTGCTATACTGGCATTTTAATAAATAATATATTACTACACTATTTGGTTCAGAATACTTTTTTCCTTGTTTTCCTCCTCTAAAATCTAGGTGCGTCTTATACTCTGGTGCGTCTTATACTCCGAAAAATATGGTATTTAAAAAAAATATTAAATATTTTAAAAATGTGATATACTGAAAGATTTAAGTGTTACATATAAATGACAGGAATAGAAATAAAGCTTTATTAGTTTGTGGAATGCCACAAGATTAGAAACATTTTCGGTAATAGATTTGTTGAACATTTAGGATGTGTTTCCTCCCCCTATTTCCTCTTGTATCCTTTGATAGTAATTACTTTACAAGAGTCTCTTGATTGCTTAAATAAGGCGAGACGGGTGGCTAGAGGAGAAAGGGTGCCTTTATATAAATTTTTTTTTTTTAGTGCCCGATGAATAGTTCTTTTATACATTTCCAGTTACTTTAAAAGCCATTTTTTATGCGTGTTTGTTTATTCGTCTGGCTTGCAGCCTATTTCGATTGTGAATGGCTTAAGTGGCCACCTTCCCAACTGTATTAAAAAAAAAAATTGAGCTAAAAACAATACAGTATACATTAAGATGGGACTTGGTGGCTCAGTGGCTAAGACGCTGAGCTTGTCGATCAGAAAGGTTGGCAGCTTGGCGGTTCGAATCCCTAGCGCCGTGTAACGGAGTGAGTTCCCGTTACTTGTCCCAGCTTCTGCCAACCTAGCAGTTCGAAAGCACATTTAAAAATGCCAGTAGAAAAATAGGGACAAATTTGTTGGGAAGGTAACAGCGTTCCATGCGCCTTCGGCATTGAGTCATGCCGGCCACATGACTACGGAGACGTCTTCGGACAGCGCTGGCTCTTCAGCTTTGAAACGGAGATGAGCACCACCCCCTAGAGTCAGGAACGACTAGCACATATGTGCAAGGGGAACATTTACACATTAAGAAATAGTAACATAATGCAGGGTACATATAGACTTAGAATAATCATCAAACCTCAGTGCAAGGCAGTTTGGTCTGGTGGTTAAGACACCAGGCTAGAAACCAAGGAACTGTGAGTTCTAATCCTGCCTTAGGCATGACAATGGCTGGGTGACTGACGTACAAATAAATAAAATAAATAAAATGTTTAAAAAAAACCCAGAGGTTACAAGTTCATAACATTTCAACCCCTGAAGACTTGGTTGATTTAGTGACTGTTCCAACTTAAAACGGCATTAAAAAGTGACACATGATTGTTTTTTTTAACTCTTAAGACAGTTAACGATGATTTACATCCGGGTGCTTGACAACCATCTCACTTTTATGACGGTTGCAGTGTCCTGTCAAAGTTAGCGAGGGAGCCAGTTTCCCTTAACAACCGTGTTACTAACTTAACAAGTGCAGCGATGCACTTAACAACCGTGGCAGGAAAAGTCGTAAAATGGGGGCAAGATTCACTGAACAGATTTCTCAGTTAACGACATAAATTTAGGGCTCAACTGCAGCCATAGGTTGAGGACTACTCTTCTGTGGGTGGGAAAAATATATTTATACAGATAACTCTCAACTTTTGCAGTTTGTTTAATGACCATTCAAAGTTGGAACAGCACTGAAAAAAGTGACGCGTGTCACACTTAACAACCGTTGCAGCATCCCCATGGTCATGCGATCAACATTCAGATGATTGGCAACTGGCTCGTAGTTATGGCGGCCGCATGCCCCAAAGTCCTGTGATCCCCTTTTGCGACCTTCTGACAAGCAAAGTCAATGGGGAAGCCAGATTCACTTAACAACCGGGTGGCTGACTTAACCCCCGCCACGATTCACTTACCGAAAGTGGCAGGGAAGGTCGTAACGTGTGGGGCAAAACTCATTTCACCAACGTCTCGCTTAGCAACATAAATTTGGGGCTCCGATGTGGCTCGTAAGTCGAGGACCACCTGTATATACACACTCATGTTTGAATACACACCAATGTTTGTATGTCTTATGGTTTATTTTAATGGGTTGGATGCCACCCATAAAACAGGAATTCTTGGAGAGAGAGAAAAAATATGCTTGCAAAATGAACATGTAGAGTTTTATTCAAATCTCCTTTCAACAAACTGTCTCCTTTTTGTTTATTTGTTTGTTTGTTTGTTACAGTGCAGGGTGCGGGAGGACCGGGGCCATCTGTGCGATAGATTACACATGGAATTTGTTGAAAGCCGAGGTAAGGAGGATTTAGAGCAGTCAGCATGCTGGGAAAACTAGGCCATCTTATGCAAGTGATTAGAGCTTTATGGAAGAATAATCAAGTTTTGTACGGCAAAACTTTGGAAATGATTTGCAGAAAAAGGAAAGGCAGAACGGCTTAACTGCTGTCAGGGAAAAAGGAAAGGCCATTTCAATTGTTCGAAGCATGCATCGTTGCAGCCGAGAGAGAAAAAAAATAAATTAAGGCATTTGTAAACAATAAAGGAGGGGGTGGCTCATTGACTAAGATGCTGAGCTTGTCGATCAGAAAGGTCAGCAGTTCGGCTGTTTGAATCCCTAGCGCCGGGTAACGGAGTGAGCTCCCGTGACTTGTCCCAGCTTCTGCCAACGTAGCATTTCGAAAGCACGTAAAAATATGCAAGTAGAAAAATAGGAACCACCTTTGGTGGGAAGGGAACAGCATTCCGTGCGCCTTCAGCATTGAGTCATGCCGACTACATGAGAACAACTTCGGACAGCATTGGCTCTTCGGCTTTGAAACGGAGATGAGCACTGCCCCTTAGAGTCAGGAACGAATAGCACAAATGTGCGAGGGGAACCTTTACCTTAAATACTCGATAGAACATTTGACATGTGAGTTTCTTCCGTGCGAAAGCAAACAAACGCCATTGCTCGTGTTCTGTTGCAGAAAATTCCGGAGGAATTCAACGTGTTTAATTTAATACAAGAAATGAGGACCCAGAGGCATTCTGCAGTACAGACTAAGGTAATCTTGTCTTTGGGGAACCTAAATGTGACATGATGGTTCTTGGGGAACAGCCTCTTTTTCGAACGATCTAAGCTCATCCTTGTCTTTTTATCACTCGCGCGCACAGGAGCAGTACGAGCTTGTTCACCGGGCCATCGCGCAGTTGTTCGAGAAACAGTTGCAAAAATACGAGAGCTCTGCGGCGTGGAAAATTGCAGATGGATTGGTAACGTGGCTTGAATCACAGTTTTCTTTATTTTATTTTAAATGCTTTGAAACCCATGACCCATCAAAAC